ACCTCTCTGAGATTGAGGTCAGCCTGGTCTACACAGCAATTTCCAGGCCAGCTGGGGCTACAAGAAGACCTTGTCTCAAAAAACCAAAACAGTGAATATTGGTTCGTGCTCAGCTGACTTTCTCTATTTTATACAGTGCAAGATCCCCTACCCAGGGAATGTCCCACCCACAGCAGAGCTATGTCTTCCCACATCAGTTAACATAATCAAGACACACCCAAGAAACCCATCTTCTAGGTGATCCTTGATACTGTCAAGTAGATAATTAACTCTAACCTTCACAGTGATAGACTCAAAGTCTATCACTATCAGTCTAAAAAGTCTTATTGGCTGAAAGAAAAGAATGAAACATAAATAAAATTTAATAAAATCAAATATTGCACCAATTAACAAGTTAACATTATGATTGCATCAGTTGCATATATAATATTTAGCTTAACACATTTTCATGGTAGAACAGATGAGGAAGCTACTAACAAAATTAGCATATTTTTGCTATAACATTCAAAGTGTTTGGTCAAATTAGGGCAGGAATATGTGCCATTATTTGTGGTTGTGTCCTGATCAGGCCTCAAATATTAGGAACAGGCACTGGACACCCAGCTTTCAGAGATGAACAACTGGGTCCCCAAAGGAGACCCAGGACATCAAGGACATTTATTCAGGAGAAGAGATTCTTTTGGGAGCAAATGGCAGGCAGGGTCCGTCCACTGGAAGGCGGGTCAGTGAATAACAAGTATTGTTATTTTGTCTGCCTCCGAAGGTCAGGGGCAGGACCAGGGAGAAAACTGTCAAGAGGCAGTTTCAGAAGCCTTGGTTTGGAGCTGGAGCTGTTGATGAGATAGGCTTTGGCAAAAAGAGCGTTCCTTTCCTTTGGCAGTCTTTGGCTTGGGGTTGGCTGCTCGGCCCCCTTACGATGTGGGTGAAAAGATGCTGCTGCTTGGTAACAGGAGTGGGAGCCTAGGACTGGGATGATAACTCGGTAAAGTGTTTGCGTGTAAGTGTGAGGATCCAGGCTTGATCCCCAGCCCCCATGCAAAAAGAGCTGGGTGTAGGGGCACGTACTTGGAATCCCAGTGCCCAAAAGGCAGACACAGTAGGATCCCTGTGGTTCTCTGGCCAATCAGCCTAGCCTACTTGGCAAGTTCCAGACCAATGACCTTGCCTCCAAAAACAATATGGACAACTTCTGAGGAAAGACACGGGAGGTTTATCTCTGCATGCACACGCACACACGCACACACACACACACACACACACACACACACACATACACACACACAGAGGCACACACATGCAGTAGGAGGAGCCCGTTAACCCTGGGCTCAAGATCATGAGCCTTGATGGTCACTTAGAGTCTACTTTAATCATTTTAATAACTGTGGGGCTGATCTCCTGTTGGGAATGTTTCATTGCTTCTATAATTTTTAACATTTGACTAAAATTTGTCTGTGTTTTACCTTAAACAATGGAAAAGAAGGTGGAGCCATAGTTTTGCCTGGTTAAATTGTTCTGGAGGAATCTGTTTCACTGAAGTTATCTGGGTTTTCTTTAGATTATATTGTCGATCCCATTGACCATTCTTTAGTCAGTGTTCTAGTAAATTCTGAATGTTCATCAAAAATAATTGATTGGCTTTTTGTCAGCATTGATATTGAAGCCAGTATCAGATCTGGCTCTAAGCGGTGGAATAAATAGGGAGAGGAGAGGAGTTAATGCTTTCTATCTAAGGTGAAGATTGGGTTTCAAGATGAGAGGCAAGCCTGAGCCTGCCTGTGCGGCAACCTCAGCAAGCCTAGGAGGGATGCTGAGACGGCTGGGAAACAGCTGGGGCTTGTGGAAGCTGGGTGCCTTAGTTACAGCAACTTCTGAAATGAGCTCAGATCCAGGCCCTGCAGACCACAGAATGCTGGGATGCCTTGTGTTTTTGTGTTTCCCTATGTGTTCATGTTGCCTTCCTTTTTTTGTTTTTTAACAATATAAATTATTTGAGATCAAGAAATATAATTTCATATTCTTTTCTGAGTTGGTCTACATTCTTCATGGGTGACAGAAGGTTTTACCGTCTTTATGTTCTTGTTAATATCTTCATTTTGAGACATCTTTTGGATGGTGATGTCTGGATTTAAGTTAATCTGAAACTCTTTGGGAACAAAATCTTATCTGTGAGCATGGCTCCACAATTTGGGGTGCAAGGCTCAGATTGCTGACCCTGCGTAGTGGATATCATCATCCTGGATTGAGTTCTGCCCACTTCCAGAAATAGGACTTTGGGCTCAGTCTTCATTTTCCAACTGGGCTCAGAATATGCCTCTCTGCCCTGTGCTTTGTTCAACATCCTGCTGTGAAAACAATCAACCTTGAAACCCATTTCAATCACTTTATGCCTCAGTAATCTCTGTTTCCCATTGTATGAAGCAAGCTAAGTCCCTCAGTAGTCAGGAGCCCCTCCATCAGAAGTCCTGCCTTATCCTTTGAAGCTTCTAATTTTCTGTCCTATTAATGCCTCTAGGAAAGACAGCTTTATCCATCCATTTTGTTTATTCATTCATTCAGTCAGTCTAGGGGGGATTACTATTTATTTATTGAGTAGCAGGTACTTGAGATTTTTATTTTAGTAGGAAGGCAATGACATAATTTAATACAAAAATTCAGGCTTCAGGGAACTTCAGTATCTTCTGTCTAGTTCTAATACCTTTGCTTTCCCTGAACACCGTATTTCCTATTATTTACAAGCAGTCACTCTGTTTCTTTTCTACGCCCTAAGTGGTGTTAGGGCTTAGGGGTAGGAAGATGAATGAAACAGTGAGATCATACATATGAATATGCATTTTAAGTTATAAAGCATTTTGTATGCATTGGTTTTTTTGGAGGAGGTGGGATTTGAGACAGGTCTTGTGTCTTAGGCTGCCTGTGGACCCATGATCTTCCTTCCTTGGCTTCCTGAGGGCTGGGATTATGGAAATGTGTCACCATGCCTTGGCTACATTGATTCTTCTTAATAAAGAGAAATGCAGCCAGTCCATTGGAAGAAACAGGCAGAAATAACTGTCATTCTGGATTTTTCGTGTCTGCTCTGGCCATCTTTGCTAAGCTTCTCCTTTAATACCTGCATTTAGCTTTTCTCTTATCTAGTCATTCAAATTCTCAATATAGTCTCAAAAAACAAAAGGGGGGTTACTATACTCAAAGCATAATGCCAGGCCGATACTGAAAAGATGGAATGAACAAGACTCAACCAAGTGAAAGAGATAAACCATTCCTCCTAGGCAACATGGGAGCTTAAAAGAGCTACAGGAAAGAGAGCTGAGGGCTGGGGGGGTGGGGGGGGGTTGCGATTTGGTGGAAGTCAAGGATGAGTAGAACAGGAAGTAGGTTCTGACAGAGGGGAAGCACGTACAGGGTCAGAGTGTCTTTGGGAGCCAGGGGAGTTAATTTGGGCTGAAAGGCATGGTTGGCGGAAGCAGGAGAGGTCAAGACTGGAGAAGGCCATTGGACCAAGTGCATTGCTGGTGCTTAAGTTGGAATTGTGCTCTGTAGCACCTGGGAAACCAAGGCTTTCAAAGCAGGTGTCCTTTCCAGGCAGGGCTAGGATCTAGGGTTAGAACTATGGATTCAAGAGCCCTTTAGGGGACATCAACAAGAAAGGATCCACTCAGGAGAGAGGGCTCAGCTTGTCAGAACTCACTATCCTCCCCATCCCAACTGCAAATTCCCCATGGGAAGGGGCCATTTCTTAGGGTTCATTCATTTGCTTGGGTTTTAATGCTCTTTACTGTTATGTTTTGGGTCTGTGCTCACTAGAGAGTAGCCTTGTAGTTTCTTAGCAGAGGCTGGTGAAGTTCTTCAGAATACCTGTGTGATGGAGAAAGTGATTTCCATACGTGGGTTACTGTGGACCATCTCCAGAGGAGTCTGTGTATCAGGGACACGTTGCATATTTAAGCCAAACACAACAGCTGATGACTCCTGTAAAAGAGCAAGAAACAGTCTTTATGGCCAGCAAGCTGGCTCAGTGGGTAAAGGTCCAGCGAGCCTGTCAAGCTGAGTGAGATCCCCAAAACACGTCAGCTGGAGAGAACCGATTTCTAAGTTTTCTCTGGTTCATGCACACGCCACAGCACCTGCAGTCACACACACACACAGTAATAATAATAAAGTGGGCCTAAATTAAAGTAATAATGACAATAGTAATAATAGTAAAGATACAGCCTTTACTCTTAAGGGCGCTAGTGGCTACTGAAGGAAAATAGACATGAATTGTGTTACAAATTTTGGCCAAGCTTTGTTAACTGCTTGAACAAAATGCTGTGGGAAGTTGGAGTGACAAAATCACTGAAAAGATTCCTCGGGGAACTCGCAACCAAAAAAAAGAAGCACGTGGGGCTAGAGAGATGGCTCAGCGATTCAGAGCACTGGCTGCTCTTGCAGAGGACCTGGGTTCGATTCCCAGCACCCACATGGTGGCTAAGGACCCTCTGTTAACTCCAGTTCCCGGGGAGCTGACACCCTCTTCTGGCCTCTGCATGCTTTGCATGATAGGTGCTTTTAACACATGCAGACAATACATTCATACACGTAAAATGAAAATAATAAATGATCAATATTTTAAAAGAAGGAAGTATGTGTTATTACTGAAAAATAAAGCCAGCATTGTTACTGAGCAATATTGCATTCGTAGTGATGTTTTGGACGTAGACATCTCTCTTGGGGCCGCCTTGTTCCCTTCAGCTCAGACTTCTTTAGTCTTACTGGACTAAGACACTAAACCGAGTTTGTCTGTAGCCAGGCCCGGCTGGTGGTCAAGGGAGGACCCTGCGAAGCCATTGTGAGGCCTCCGATGGCTGCGGCAGTACTCGGAGGTTTACGGCAGTGGGCGGGACCCGAATCCCCATGTGGTCCCGACATCATTGACATGGCGGAATCCCCCATCCAACCCTCCTGGTAGTTATTTGAGCGGCGGCGGCCGGAGCAAGAGGCGGAGAGCGGCGGCGGCGGGAGCAGCGGGCGCGGCGCAGGGGGCGGCAGGGATCGGCGGGCACGGCGTGGGCGACCCCAGCTGCGGGCGCCGGGAGCCCCGGTTCCAGCCCGAGGGGAGGTAAGGCGTGCGGGAGAGGCGGGCTGCGGGGGGACGCGCGCCCCGCTCCGCACCGTGGTCCGGGATGCCCGGGGAGAACTTGGCGCGGCCGGCCGGGGGGGACCCGGGATCCCGGGGAGGAAGGGGCGATGAGGCCCGGCGCTCCCTCCTCTCGGGCCCCCGAGGACCCCGCTCCCCGCGGCGCGCTCGGCCCGGAGAGGGAGGAGGGCGCGCGGCCCGGCCGAGGAACCTCCGACGTGTCACTTCTAAGCCGTAGCTTTCCAGGCGCCGCAGGGAGGGGGCGGCCGGCCGCCGGGGCCCCCTTCATCCCCGGGGGCTCCGCGGGCTGCGATCGGGGCTGCGCGCGGGGAGGGTCCGGTGCATCCCGCGCCCCAGCCCGGGGGACCCTCCCAGCTCGCCGGGCCAGCTCAGCGCGCCACGTCCTCCTCCCCGTCCTGCCCCCGGGCTCTCCCCCGGGCTCCCCCCGGGCTGGGGGCGGGAACCGGCGGCCGCG